TGCGAATTGTAAGAGTTGCACTGGATAAACCGATAATGTCTCGCAACAAAAAACTCAACATGATCCAGCTTATTGTTCAGCTGTTATGCAGACTGATGGTGCTGTAATTTGCAATTCGAAAACTGTGCCATACAGATGACGTGGTTCGAAGCTATTGACAGTGTTTGTGTGTACACATCCAACCGCCATGTATCAACTGTCTAATGGATAATTTGATCATTCTCTGCAACCGGTTTGCATTCCGACTTCCTTGTCCAATTTACTGGATGAAATTTACTGTAAAATTACTTTCTGTATGTGTTTGATGACATTTCTCGGAGAGGTTACTTTGATAAATTTTGAACCAAAACAATTAAGCTCATATTGACCAGCATGATGAATGGAGTCTCCTCACCCGGACGTTGATATCGACGATCTCAATGCTGCCTCATCTCCCCGACTAACGTAACGACATTGTACCCACTGATGTTCAAGGCGTTAATTCTCTAGTTTTGTAAACAACGGTGTTGATTGTTATCTTTGTGGCTCGGGTAGTATAACGTGATGTTCAGATGTTCACCGAGCTTGGCAAATGTATTGCAAACTTTCCACCACCAATCGAGGTGACATTCTCAATGTAGTAACTGGGTAAGCGCTTACGAGTGTCCCTTTCCTTATATAGGTCGTTGAGTCATGTAGAGACGTGGCGTTATCTGAGTGGCTGATGTTTATTCGCTTTGTGCCAATAGGGGATGAGACGGACCCGAGGAGTCCGATGGCTGGTCGTTAATCGACCAGTCTAAGTGTTATTGTTGTGTCCTGTTGTGACGTGTGACACGACCCGCCTTCTTTGCGCTGATTGGTCCTTTTTGTTGCATGGGAATGTAGACTTGGTCGATGTCAATGTGTCGGTGGACCGAGTTTTCCCTGAATAGCAAAGCTTCCAGAAATTCTCTTGTGCACTTGATGCGGGCCTGATCGATGACTTTGATGTTTTCGAAATTGAAGTTGTGTCCTTCTTGGTCCTCTTGAATTGAGATGAGTGAGAGTACATTCTGTCTTTTGACGGCCAGTTTGTGTTCGTGCGCGCGAGTTGCTGGTTTTCTCTCTGTTTGACCGATGTAGTGCTTGTTGCAGTCCTTGCAATTGACGCGGTAGATCAC